AATATAAATTATGGTTTGCACCGTTTTTTTAGCAAAGTAATGTTTAAGGAGTGTAACCAACAGATAGTATTGGCGGGTTTTGCTTTCTTAAAAAAAAAGGTGTTAGGGAGAAATGCCTTTGTTTTGCCATCAAAGGTATTTCTACGGGTTGTGTGTAAATAACTTGCGAAATCAGAAGAAGAAAACTTGCAGAAGAAAGAAGGAAGAAGATGAATACGCTTAATTTGCTATATCTTTCATGTGGTTGTCTGTTTTAGAATGGTATCTTTTTGGCATAGAAAAAAAACTTAAACCACGGCCAGATTGGTTTACTTTAAAGTTTTAATTCTATTTTCGACAAGCGTCCGTGCTGCTTTTACATGAGTATTGAATGACTTCCTTCGTACTTATTTACTTGCTGCCTCTTATTCTCCGGTTCAAGATCCTGCCGTAATGATTGCTGGCGTAGAAGTTCAAGGATCGGGAGATGCACCAGGTTAGATATTCATTATTATTATAAATTGTGCTCATTACCTGTCTTCTCATTGGTAAGAGCCTACAGCTAATTTTGGAAATCCGCCCGACCTACAGATTAGTTAGTTATCTGCTAGAAGATAACTGACTAATCTGTAGGTTGCGCGCGCAGTGCATGATTTCCAATAACAATATCAATTTGCGACAGTTTGTTGTCGTTATTTTCTTTAAACCAATGTATAATAAAATAATTATTAGATTCGGTTTTTGTGATATCCTAAATAATTAAGGCATCGGTAAGTGCATCCTGGGCCTTATGGTCGGCTGATAACACTTACCTCGACCTTGATTATTCCGGATATCACAAAAACCTCATCAAATAATTGTTTAAAATATGCTGCCCACAAGCAACATTTATAAACTTAGATTTCCTAAATTAAACTTCTCCGGTAGATCAACATTGATCGAAGACGACGATAAATTTGGTAATAGTTTTTCATGTTTTCCTGTGCCCTACAAATCATCATTTTATATTGTATAGCAACACTTAGTTTGATTTTCAACTATCAATGATGTCCCAAATAATTCCGTCTTGTGACGTCATCTTCACTCCAAAAAGCACTAAGATCCAACAAGAAAAACCCACCGATGCGATTGTTCCTAACACAAAGTTCTTCCTTCCTGTAATATGACTTTGAGTTTAATTTCGGAAGTTCAGTTTCAGGTGTATTTCCGACCCTGCGTTAAAATTGTTTAGAGAGGAGGGGACTTACAATTAGACCTCGCAGACAAAAGGGGTACAGTATTATATAACAGAGTGTCTACTGATGTCTATTCCACGTTTTTGATATTTTTGTATATCTAGTGGAGGAAGCTGAAAAGAACGAAGATCAGCTAATGGAGGAGGTGATGCAAGATGTTGCAACTGAGAGTGACGAGGAGTCCCTTGTGGAGGAAAGTAGTAAGTTTAATCACTGAGTTAACAATCAAATAACCTTTAAGTTTCTTTTATTCTGTGAAATCTCCTTCTTCATGGCCACGGTTTAAGGAACAATTTAAAATCAAAGTTAAGGTTCTTTCTGCTGGTGTTTGAAATTAAATTAGTGCACGCTTGTACCCGGGTTGGGCGAACTTGACTTATGTTTGAGGAAAATCATGTATGGACTTGTCCACATGGCCCTACACTAAAAGCCTAGAATGCCAACCCTGTGTAGCACAAGTACACAAGATTCTTGTTTGGATACTGATAATGCCAAATAACCAGAAAAAATAACTTTCTTATCAGGCAAAACGTACCTTGTCAACGGAGAAGAATTTAAAGCAGAAGATTTTGAAGAAGATCCAAGAGGAACTACTGATGGTGAACCGCAAGGAGATGAAATAGACGAACCCGCTGAAGATGTAGCATATTATGGTATTTTTTATCGTTTTTATTCTTTTCTTTTTTGCGTTAAAACCTATTTCTATATTGTTATTTGCGCTATCACTCGTTACCAGTTCATTGAAGAGGAAATTTTCAGTTGGTCACTACCTCAGGGACTTACAAGATATTAGTCTAGTCAAAGTTTTCTCTGAACCTTCTGAAAAAACGCGTCAGGTTATGAATACTTTTTTGTTTTATTCTCATGAAATAGGAGAAGATTAATAATTAACTAATAATTAGTATAGGTAATAGCATGATTTGTAGTGATATTTGGCATAAATACCACGAGTGATATTTCGAAATTGTTATACGTAACTTCACGAGCCGTTAGGTAAGTGAAATTTGAGACAATTTTGAAATATCACGAGTGGTATTTACGACAAATATCACGTACAAATCATGCTATCATTTGTTTATACTACTACCCGCAAAAGGTTTGTTATTTTCACATGTAGGCATTTCAAATTAAGCTATAATACCACTGCTCTAAGCCAATCAAATTGCAGAAATTTCTCAAGTAGTAGTATAATATTATAAATTAATTAATAATTATTTTCGAATGTCTGTAACAGAGACATTCATTAGTGAATATTTAATTTGGTGCAAAGAAACACAGATTCAAATTTTATAGATAATGAAGGAATAAATTTAAAAAAAAAGAACTGATCAATTTCAAATAGAACCTCGCTCTTGGAAAGCCCATACCCAGGGGAAGAAATTAACCAGCCATAAAATGTCCTTTCTTATCGATGTACACCTTTGTAGGCGAATGAAGTAGTTATCCCTTAAGCAACCCGGACAAAGAGTTTGGAATTCGATGTTTTCTTCGATTTGTTACTGTTGTTTGTTTAATACTCACACATTTGCTCCATCGCGCGAGAGAGACAGGCGAAAAACCAAATTATTCCCTAATTTCCATGGCCTAAGTGAAATAACTCAATGATTGTAAAAAATAGTTTTAAAAAAGCTTATTCATATATTTTACATAACTCGTAGGGTGGAAAAAACATTCCTTCAGCTGGTGTACCCAAGGAGGGAGACAGTTTTTGAGTGGAAAGAAGGGCGTGGTGCAAACCTTTGCGCAGTGTGCTAAACTGTGTGAAAAAATTAAAGGATGCAAGGCGATTGAATTGTGGCACAAGTACAACTGGAACTGTTACTGGTGCAAGAGGATAGATTTGATCCAACCTTACACCAACAAAAAAGATCTCGCCTACCCTCCACATGTGTGGGTGCAGAGTAAGTAACATCTTTCATTATTTCTCGCTATAATTCGTAAAATACCGTTTTTATGTAAAATTTATATTATTTTCGTCCCTTCGTTTACTCTTAAGTTTATTAATACCTTCCAGTCACCATGACTCAAGTGCAATTTTATAATTAGTTCGTTAATATGGTGGGATGCTATTTGATTAATCCAGATTCGATCATCAAGCGTGAAGGATACCGTTTTGTAACAGACTCTTTATTAAGCTAGCTTGTCAGGAACGTTTCGTTTTTGGAACTCAAGGCTTTATTAATTGTGAGGAAGGATCAAAAAGCGTTATTTTTAAAGAACATCTTTAATAAGCTAAATTTACCTGTATTGAGTACGCTTGGATGGGTGGATTGTTTTATTGACAGATTTAAATTGAAATTCAAATATTATTTTCTGTCTGTTGTAGGAACCAAACCAACTATCCCAACTGGTCCAGGTAATATTTGTCTAAAATTCTGAGTTAACTTTGTAAAATAGTCCTTGCAAAGGGCAGAAAAAAGCTAGAAGGAACGGCTCATGTTTTCTTGACGTTTTTCCTTAGCTGCGTTGTAATTACAGTCGATTCCTTCGATATGCGATTACCTCTCATGTTAAGCTAAGCTGCCTTTCAGGCGTTTCCTTCGAATTTCGGGTAGGCGAATGTTTCTGTTGGCGAAAACGCCTTGTTGAATTTCATTTAATTCTGGTGCTGTCGATACAAAGTCGTTTCGATTCAGGTCGTTTCGATACAAATTTATTTAGTCGTATTGTAAGTAGTTTCAGGTATTTGGCTTTTAAAGAACGAAGAATATTCACCCAAAATGTTTTTCTTGTTCAAGCGCAAACTTTACTTGAAGTGATCGAAGTTTTAGTGCAATTTAACTGCTTAAGTGCGTATTTAAACGACCGGTACGTCGTGGAGTTGAGGCGGCTCAAATGCGGGCGTGGAAGGGAAAGATAGCAAACAACAACAAGTGGCAGCGAGTCGTTAAAGACTACCTCACTTAGGGGACCTTTCTGGGTAGTCGCTTAAGGAAGGTGCGAATGTGATTTTCATCAATCATTTATGAATCTCAGTAGTATCCTTTTTTCAATTAATGCAATCATTTCTGTGATCAGTTCGGTAGCGTGGTTTAGACTAATAGAAGTAAAATAAAGTCTCTTTTCCCTTTTTGTCTCTTGCAGTCACAAAACCCACTATCCCATCTCATCCAGGTAACTAGTTGTTAAGCTGCTTAGTAGTTTGGTTAAATGAAATGATATTATGTCAAAGTGGCCCTTCTTTAGCCCAAATAAAGGAGACTACAAAGCAGTGATTCTTTACTATTTTAACACTTTAAGAACTAAGAGTGATCAGCTTGAAATTTCTCCTTATAACATCAATGCTTTATAAAACAGAGTGGCCATGAGACTTGACGACATGATCAGGGAAGGTGATTCTATTGATATTTTAACAAATTCTCTCCACTACTTCTATTGAAAACGTATAGAGACAACAAATGAGACTATGACTTTTGATATTAGTATTTATAACAGGTTACTAAGGACATTAATATGGCGGACGCGACGTCATTTAATGAATTTGGTACCCTTTTGCATTTTAATAAATGCATTTTGTCATACTGCACAAATAGCAACAGATGAGTGCATATACCTTATTTTCAATAAACGTTACTTTGGTCTTTGGCAATTGGGCCGTTCTGGGCATTTGGGCATTTGAACTCTCTCCAGTGGTTTGCTTGAGTCAAGAACGCCAAACAGTAGCTTCCCAGTGCACAATTCTGAATAATCAAAGCAACCGTCATTTAATCAGCTATATCATTGCAATCGATTTTATAATTGCTTAAGGTATCAACCAGTATAAATTTTGTTGTTGTTGTTGTTTTTTTTATAGCGGTCAATGTCACTTGTGGAAAGAACGAAATGTCGATCAGCGTACCTAAGTATCTTCTTCACGGATTGGACAGAGAGCATCTTCGCCTCAGTGATGTGAATTGTGGAGCTATAGAAACCAGCAGCCATTTCATTCTTCGCACAAAGCTCACTGGGTGCCACACAACCATCAGACACACCAAGGGTTTCGTATGTTACATGAACAAGGTGGAGGAGATTCCCATCGCAAAACATCAGATCATCACACGAGTTCGGGAGGTTGAAATCCCCTTCAGTTGTTACTACTCCAACATGGGAGTCGTGTCCGCCGTTGGCCTTCAAGTCAAAAGCAAGAAAATCGTCTTTTCGAAGAAAGGATTTGGAAAATTCATGTTGGAGATGAAAATTTACCCAACTCCTAAATACAGTCTTGGGTACAAGAAAAAAGATTTCCCTGTAATGGTAGCTCTAAGGAAAGTATTGTATGTGCATGTAGGTGTTGACTCAGAAGACAGGAGACTTTCCGTCTTGGCAGTAAATTGCTGGGCCACGCCAAACTCTGATCCTTATAGCAAGGGATATAGATACGAATTCATCAAAGAAGGGTAAGTATATAAATATTTTTCTTAATATCGTTTTTTAACGTCCCCTTCCTTTTACATTGTAATTGTAATCTATTTAGTCTGCTGAATCCACGAACTAATACAACTTTGGTGCAAGACCGATGTAAAGTATCTGAGTGCCAAAGTATTAGAGTGAATCAAGGCTTTGAAATAGTAAAAAAAAAGTGCCCAATGAATACTAAATTCATCATGCTGTTCTTAATCGATGCAAAATTGACACTGATGTCGTTCTGCATAGTCATATGACACCAGCATATACTGTTATAGCATATAAGAGAACACAACGACAAACAACATGATGTGCGTTCATTTTGTCCTTCTTTGTCTGTCTCTTTTAGATGTGCAGTAGATAACACGGTCAAATTCATACACACAGCAGACAAACGTACTCAGCGCTTCAGTATTGAGGCCTTTAGTTTTGTGGGTGACCATCAATTCGTGTACATGCACTGCAAGGTCATGGTGTGTAATGCAGCCGATCCTCACTCACGCTGTGCACAGGGCTGCGTTCGACGAGGAAAGAGGTCCCTGATAACTCAAGAATCCAATGATGAGGAGATAAACATGTCTCAGGGACCATTCATGCGCGGAGATGATGAAGAAGAAACTAAACTGGAGAAAACGGAACAAGATATGCGTGATGCAAGGAAAAGTAGTAAGTTTTTATTCATCTTTGTTTCCACCGGTCGGGATAACTCTTTCGGCGACAAGAAAACCACATGGGATAGTTTATCTGTTTACACATGATTCTTTGTGAACAGGTATTCTGACCAAAGCGGAAGTAAATAAGTACATGTAAGAGCGAGGACTAGAACCGACAGAGACGAAAGTAAAAGGTAGCAGAAGTGAGGATTGGGGTTTAGTGAACTGAACCCGCTCCGGTTCCGGTTCCGGTTCGCTCCGGTACGATGTTCAATGTGTGTAAACGACTTGTTCCAGTTCTTTGCCGTTGCCGTCCATGCTGTACCGGATATGGCTTTTCATGTGGGCACGAAAAGCTTTTGGTTGCCCGTGCAAAATTTATGGTTTGTTTCGCGATGGGCATTGATATTAATCATGAAGCTTTGAATGTTTGCTACTGGTCCTTATCAGGCGAAGGTGTAATAGCACGGACTAAGATTTCATCCATTTGCAAAAAAACTTAACCTTTACAACGAACTAAACACAAGTTATCCAAAATCTAATCACGCTTATCAGCATTTCCGTATCCAGGACATCACGTAATTGAATGAACTATGATAAATATGACTTGGGTAAAATCATTTACATTGTTTAATCTTGTATTTTGCAGGTATGTTTCCCACTTTGGTCGCTGCCATGGCTGTGGTTGCTGCCGTGTGCGTCATGGGTGTGTCTTACTTCGCGTGGAACAGTAGGAAGCAAAGGGCTGTGCGTGATTATCAACGACTCACTGTTGCCGCTGAAGACTAAAAACAGCCTGCAATTAGAAAAACTTTGCGGATTAACTTGAATTTTTTGAACGTCGTTTTTTATATATTTTTTAATTTCCACTTATTTTATGTACAGTAGGATACTGTTTTGTTTTTTTAGTTATTCTGGTTGTTATCTTTGTCTAAAGCTTCTGATCATCAATGAGTAGCCATATCAGTTTCGCTGACCATCCAATTTTCCAACCTGGCTTTCAAAATTCAACTGAGTTTATGGATGAAATGATGACTGCTTTGCTTTCGGGAACCATGGGGTTCATCGTTATCACAACAAAAAACTCGTCATTACATGTACAACGAGGCTACATATCCGTTGTTATTTTATTGATAACAAATTCGGAACTAAAGATTTTAAACAATT